TACTGGGCTGAGGGCTGTGGGGACCATGGTCTCGGGGAACATCTAGCTCAATTGGTATAAGATACTTGATAAAGAAAATGTTCTACGTTTTGTCTTGGTGAGTAGCGTCTAGGGTCTTAAAAGCCTGTGAGCGGCTATCTAAGATACTCCACTGGTCTTACCCCCTTGGGAGCAAGGCAGAATGAAGGAAACTAAAGGCACACGGGAAAGATTATTCCAGAGGACTAATAGACCCACAACTACCGTGGCTTCCACCAGACTGAGTCCAGCACAACTGGATGGTGCCCAGCTACCACCACTGACTGCTCGTACAAGGATCACAATGGAGGGTCCAGGAAAGGGCTGGAGAAAAATGTAGAACACAATTCTCATAAAAAAGAGACCAGACTTACCGGCCTGACAAAGACTGGAGAAACACTGAGAGTATGGCCCCCGGACACTCTTTTAGCTCAGTAATGAAGTCACTCCCGAGGTTCACTCTTTAGCCAAAGATCAGACAGGCCCATAAAACAAAATGAGACTAAACAGGCACATCAGCCCAGGGGCAAGGACTAGAAGGCAGGAGGGGACATGAAAGCTGGTAATGGGGATCCCAAGGTCTCGTGAAGGGAGAGTGTTGACGTGTCGTGGCGTTGTTAACCAATGTCATAAAACAATATGTGTACTAACCACTTAATGAGAAGCTAGTTTGTTCTAAATTACAATTAAAAACAGAATAAAGAACGAGAAGTCCACATTTAAAATAACCACAATAAAGACACACTATTTAGGAATAAACTTATCAAGAAATATTTAAAATCTGTATGAAAAAGTTGTAAAAAATCCTGAAAGACACAAAAGTAGAATTGAAATAATGAAAAGGATATATTTTGTTCTCAATGTCAAGATATAAGTTCTTCATACATAAATTTACAAAATTAATGTGATCCAATTAAAAGTATTAAAAAGCTGTTTCTTCTTAAGTTAGACAAGTTGATAATAAAGTTCATATGGAAACACAAGAACATACAAGAACTAGAAAAACACTGAAGAAAGTTCTAAGAGAGGACTAGCTCTAATCAGATACTCAAACATATGACAAACCTCCTCCAAAGGGATGGAAAGTCCAGAAATAGAGCCAACTACATATAAATGTCCAGAGTTTAATAAAGCTGGTATATCAAGTAACTAGGGCAAAGATGGACTTTTGAGATGGTGTTGGGACCATGGAATAGCCATTTGGAAAAAGACAAAACTAGATCCATTCCTAAAACCATACACAAGATTAAACTCCAGAGAGATTAGGTATCTAAATGGGTGAATTTCTCTTTAAACTGGGCATAAAAAGGCTTTCTGTCTCAAAATCCAAATGCAACAAAATCTGATAAATTTGGCTAAATAAAAATTTTTGTATAACCCCAAGGAAAAAAAAAACACCTTAAGCAAAGTCAAGAAATGTGGCAAGTTGGAAAAACATTTGAAACATTTATCACAGGGTCTACCATTAATATATAAGGCAAGTTTCAAAAGTCTAAAAGTTAAGGTGAAAAAAAGACCAAATATCTTAATCTTGCAAAGTAAATTTACACTGGGTTACCATTTCTCACCTACCAGATTGGCAAAAATGCAAAAACCTGACAGCACACTCTATTAGTGAGATTGTGGGGTAAGGGACACTCATACATTACTTACTACGATGAATGCAAAATGGTACCACTTCTATGGAGAGAAATTTGGCAATGTCTTTAAAACGGCATATGCATTTATCCTTTGCTACATCATCCACACTTCTACAAATTTGCCTTGAAGATACATCTTCAACAAAACAAAAATACAAATGTGCAAGTTTATTCATTGTAGTATTTGTAATTGCAAAATATTAGGAACTACCTGAAGGGCCCAAACATAATTGGTCGAATAAACACGATGATATAGACACTATGTGGTACTAGACAGCTATATGAAAAATGAGGAAGCTCTCTAAAAACGGATACGGAGTGATTTCCAGGATACAGTGAGTGAAACACTGTGTGTGGGTAAGGGAAAATAAGAACACACACATAGACCTGCTTGTTTTTGTAAAAAGAAACATAGATGAATCAACTAGAAAATGAAATTGGTTATCTACAAGGATGGAGGGAGATAAGGTGGCAGTGGGATAGGAAAGGGAGTGATACTTTCTAATTTTTTATAGTTTCACTTTTGGAAGCATGTTAAAATAGACACAAACCTACGTATGCTGGTGGTGGTGGTGGTTGCCACTGAGTCAATTCCGACTCATGGCAGCTCCATGAGTGTCAGGAGAACTACTGCCTAGGGTTTTCTATGGCTGATATTTCAGAAGTAGATTGCCAGGGCTTTCTTCCGAGGTGCCTCTGGTTGAAATCAACTGCTAATCTCTCAGTTAGCAGCTGAGTGTGTTAACAATTGCACCACCCAGGAACTCAAAAACAAGTATATTTCAAATAAATAACATAACCACACTGATTTTTACTGCCACCAAGTCTTGAATGTTAATAGGTTGGTTTCTCATAGTATTATGGGTGTAGCAATTCTCACATTTTATGTGCACTGTTGGACTGAACAAACAAATGTGTTGATATTGTCAGAAGCCAGGATTCTCACTCTGAAAAAAGGGAGAAACAAATATGAAATAGGAGAAGGCAAGGAAGAATCCTGCCAAGTTGGATTAGAAATTAGCTATCAGTACAGACTCACAATTCCTAACGTCTGTGTGTGTGTGTGTGTGTGTGTGTGTGTGTGTGTACTTCTTGTTCTGCAAACCGAAAGGGCCTAGGGTCAGTGATATCACAGGAACAGTAAGCATACCTAGTGCCTAGATCTTGGTTTCCAAGCATCATTTCCCCCTAAAAAGAACCAAGCTCCTTGGAGAAACGACTGATTCCAGTTTGGGGCAGGGAAGGTACAAGATGAATCTACAATGTCTCGTTTTGCTACAAAGGAAGTGGCGCGCGCACACACACACACACAAAAAAAAAACACTAACGGTATATCAAAAGGACACCACAATCACCTTTGTTGGGGCTCCTCCGAGTCATATCTCAGACAATTTGAACACCAATATAAAGAAGTATAGTAGCAGATTATAAACCATTGAATAAAATAGGAATCTATAAGTCTATACTTAAACAATTAGTGGCATAGATGGTAGATGACGGACGGATGGATGGATACACGAGGGCGATTCCTTACAGTAAAATGTTAATATATGTGGAATACGTAGTGGAACTGAAAAATCACCATTTTGCAATCATCATAATAAAGATTCATTCAGGAAAGATTTTATCAAGTGTTACTAAATCAAAAGGCAGAGGCAAAGGATATTTGACAAAGAGCAAAATACTTACATGATCTTAAAGTATCTCTCCACAGATTGCTTATTAGTTGCAAAGGGAAAAATAACAACTATACAGTGAAGACACAGAATAATACTTGTACCAGGTGATCAAAATTAACATCTCCAATGAGTTCCTTCAGTTGTGATACCCTATGAAGGGCATATCACTTTTGGAGTACTTGAGTTAGGTACACATAAACTCAATCTAATCATTAGAAAGTATCAGACAAACCCAAATTTAGAAACATTCTATAAAACACACACATACACACATTATTTTTGTTATGGAGAACTGATCTTCATGGTAAATAGACATCACCTGAAGGCAGAGATCACACCTTATTTATCCTTGTATCTCCACCATCTATCACAGTATCTGACATTTAAGAGCTTAATAAACATTGGTTTATTAAGGATACTCCCTGACTAAATAGATGCTAGGTCTCAGACATTGTCTTTATTCATCTGTGTTTTCCCACCTCCAGCCCCAAGCACAGAGAAGACACAAATTAAGTATAGTGGTTAAAAGAATAATGAATTTTTAAATTAGGTAAACAGGGTTTGTTCATAGGTTATATAATATTCCACACTATCACTTTAACACATTTTCAAAAGTAAACTTTTTTCAAAACTGTTCTAAAAGCCTTGTTTTCCAGGTATCCTACAAAAAGAAAACCTCAAAAATAAACTGAAGTGACAATAAAATTATGGATACACTGCAGTTAGAACCCAACTTTATTGTTATAGCCAATTTTTATTTACAGAATATAAATCTCTTCAAAAAGATACATTCCTTTATTTAATCAATGACAAAAGGCCTTATTAGACAGAAATAAAGCCAAAACATCACTTATATTTAAACAGAAATACAGTGTCGTTAAAGGTTTATGAACATATAGCAAAAAACGTATTTTTACTTAAGCAGTGAGATGAATGAGGTTTTAATTTTTTTTCACTGGCAACCCCATTTTGTCCACAAAACAAATTTTAATTAAATTAACAGTAGTAAAAAATGTAAAAATTACATTTCAAACATGTAAATATGCAACAAAAAACAGGAAGTATCTTCATTACCAAACAGATTAACAAGTTCTCAGACACTCAGATACTTTCTGAGCATATCAAAACACCTACATCAAAAGTTGCGTTCATTTTAGAGGTATCAATACATTTTCAGTGCTGAGACTATTTGTAGCACTTACAGTATATACAAAGCAGCATTATACTACTATGGTTCACATTTGATAAACACAAATTTAAGTTTTATGCCACAATTTCCTATTTCAATATACAGTTAATGCAATGGTAATTACTAATTGCATTTTTTCTTCTGAAACTGAATAAGGAAATTATCATTTAAGCACATAGAACAATGCCATGTCTTCTTCCGTATAATATCAGTGTATTTTAAAAGTCAAATACTTCGTATCATGGAAACTGACCTGGCTGTACAAAGGCTCCTAAATTACAGTGCAGTCAAAAGTTTCCTCTTTGCAGATGCCATCAGTTTATAGTTTTTTAGTATAGACAAGTACAGGAAACTACTTAAGATTACTGGGCAGTAAGAACTTCAGTGTGTCGCTACCTACATTTAAGTAGTAGCGGCACACGACAACAGTCATGGCAAATATACACTGTCATCTCCTCCTCAGCTTTATGGGGGTCTTTTCCAGGTCACAGAAGCTAATTTATATGAATACCATAGGGTTAACTTATCTTTGAAAAGTTCCTTTATTAAAAGTTCTAAAATTTAGCTAATGCAACATCTACAATTCAAATCAGTCAGCTTTACCTTACTCTTTATTAACTAGCTCAAATACAATATGTAATGCTTCTGGTTTTTATAAACATTTTATCAGTGTTTTATTAAAATGATTAATGGTAGTTGTAATACCATTAATGGGTAAGATGTAAACAGCAAAAAAATGTCTACATTTACAGATTGAAATGGTATCTTAGAGAGTTAGACTTTTGTAACTAGACAAAGCTATAGGATTCAGACTGAACATAGATATAATGATATCTTAATCCTGCTCGTTTATAGAATCAGTAGTATAATAGGTGTACTAAGTATAGGAAAGAAGAGAAAGCAGATTTCAGACAGAAACCTACTAAAAAACTTGATTTTGGATCTCTCAAACAGAAAAGGGTATTTTCTACAAGCAATGTTATTTTTTCTGTTTAAACAGTCCAAATCTTCAGAAAATTATGATCCAAAAATAAAATTTGGGGGAGAAAAATCTGTTCAGAAAAATTGAATTCATCCTATAATGTTTTTATTAATTTCAGTTTTCAAGTATTAGGTATTAGAAACAAAAACACTGCCAGATTTCATTTGTCAATATGTCATTTGTTTTGGAAAAATAGATGCCCCAATAATCTACTTGTAACTCAATCCAAAGAATTTTCTTTTATAGCAAAACATTTACAGTCAGCTTCAAAGATGGGAAAAATTCATTTAAAATAGCTGATATACTTTCCTGTCCAAAGACATCAAGTCCCAAGACATAACACTGCAATCACACAAATGGTATGTAATGGGCGGGGGGGAGGGATTCAGTACAAGAAATGTCTTCTTTAAAAAAAAGAAACAAATATGTAAATTAGTTAATATGTAACTAAGTTCCCAGTCAAAGGATATTTTATAATCTACTGAAGAAAATAACTGAGCTAATCAATTGTGAAATAAAAATAAAGCTACTTTACCAAATACTTGTAACTCTTTTTCCTCTGTGTATAATATTTACTAGCACTTCTTTTCCGTAAAATATTACAAGTTGCTGTCAATAACGAAACCCTCTCCTATCATAAAGTATTGTTAAGTTTCTCAATCAACTGAATGGTTGAATAATATTAAAAGTTTAAATCTATACCACTTTGGGATGCAGTACAAAAGGGTTATTAAAAGCAATTTAAAGCAGAAAATCCAACTACTAGATAATACTCTACATTACAAAGTAAGGAATTCACAAAATATTACAGAAGGCTTGTGTGTAATCTAAAAAAGAAATGTTATAGTTTTAAAAGTAGAGGTTTCTAACTTCTAATTGAAGTGGGGCAAATTTTTTTTTCTTAAATCTGAAAAGTTAGTTAACATATGTATGAAGTTAAAAATATTTTTAGTTAGACTAAATGGAAAATAGTTGTCCTTAAAAGATGACTTCTATTTTTCTGTCTTTTTAAAAGTCCATCATGAACAACTTTCTTTAGAGAAGCCAACTAAGATATACCTAAGTTGAACTATTATTTATAAGTTATTATTTATATCTCTTGCATACGTGGGGTTTGGACTCAGAGAGACATAAAATTTAAGGTTTGGTTTTTGTTTTTTAGAAAAAAGGTTAATAACCCTGAAAACAGGAAAAGGTAATGGTTCAATTTTCAATCATTAAGTTATATTTTTATTTTGCTTTAGCTTAGAATCATGACTCAAAGAATGAAGCTCTATTAATATAACAGTGTATAAATTCACTACTTCCAGGAATCTAATCTCACAAAAACTAATGTCATTAAAGTAGTGAAGAAAAGTCGTAACAGGCACTGAGAGGCTAAATAAATAAGTGCTGACATTAATTAACATAAAAACTGATAAACCCTATTTCCCAGTTCCTCTGTTATCCCACTGTGCAGCCAGAACTGTTGTCTATTTTCAGTCCAAAACCAAAGAGCTGGATCATTTCCTTACAGAAAAATTTCTACCAAAAAAAAAAAAACGAGAGAGAGAATGCAAAACATATACAATTTCATATGCAAGATACAATTCACATTAATTTACAAATTTTTATTTACACTGTTTTAAATACATTCCAGGCAGACCTAGTTGATCAGTTTTGTGCTCATAATCATCTCAGACAACCATGTGAACAGTATGATTTACCACCACATCAGAAAGTGGTAGTAACATGGAGTTAGGAAAGGAAAAAAATCAAGTATCACTGGTCAGGTAAGATCATAACATGTATGTAAGGAAAAAAGGGGAAGGGAGAGAGTTGAATTTTGCTTGTTAAAGCATCCAGGCCACTATGGTCTATTGACTAACATTGAATATACACGGATGCTACTTCTAACAACCACTTTCATATTTACAAAACGGGCTTACTATCAGATGAGTTACTAGGTAAGGCATTCCTTAATGTAAAAAGGCAAAAGACATTTCAGCAAGCCCCAAAACAAATTTTAGAGGGATGTTTTTAGACTGCGGTTGAGATTTACCTTCCTTTAGAATCCCTCAAATGGTCAATATAAAGGAAAGCAATTTTGAGCCCTATTCCTAAGCCTGCACCATCATTTGAAAAGCCTGTGCAGAAGTATCAGAGCATCACAACACCTAAAATCTTGCCAAAGAGTGTGGCAAGATACTAAATATCTCACTTCATATCCGAGATCCACTGCAAACTCCATGGGCTAAAGTGAGATGAGAGTTCCTACTCCCCATTACATTCACTTCTATACAAATCTCTTTGAAATGCTTACAACAGTGTCACAGCTAGCAGCTATGCACAGTCTACCAGCATTGGCTCAGTGAATCTCTATTCAAAATGGTTTGAAGTAAGATTATGGAGTAAGGTGGATAAATTACCTTCTTCCTCTCATAGTACTCCAATATATACACTGTTGCACTTTAAGAAGTCAGAAAGCAAAAAAAAAAAAATCAATAGTATTACATATTCTTCAGCATCTTAAGAAAATGTTCCAACCACAGATGAAAATCACATCAAAAACAATTTTTTAAAGTTCACCCTAACATTAAAAAAGCTACTGCTTAATTGGTTCCATTCATGTGATCAACTGGACAAAATTCTACTTATCCTATAGTAACACAGTTTATAAAAACAAAAGTGAACATTTACAACATTGGGGAGGTAGAAAACAAATCTTGGTCTAACACTGTTATAAACAGACGTTAAATTTCTATTTCTGTAATTAGAATCTACCATTTAAAAATGGCCTTTAAGTGTTTCTACTTAAGTTATTAGCTTTAAACATCTTGAAATAATCCAAGTATTTTAAAGCACTTGTCTGAGAATATAATAAGTCATTTGGAATAATACATCAAACTCCCCATAAGATTTCTCAGAGGATAAATTTGTGGCTGCATATTCTGAATCTGTAGATCCATTAAGCCAACTTTGTACATGGGCACTTATGTGACCAAAGTGCAAAGCTTGTCAGACTAATTTTCAAAGTAAAATTATCATGACTGCTCAACCCCAACAGCAATCTTCAAAACTTGAAGCCCACTGACCTATCCCAAATATCTAACTTCCTTCCATATGATAATTGCCTAAATCCAAACAAAATTAAAAAATACACTTAAATAAAAGCAAGATAAAACAAAACATTAAAAAAAAGCACTCCTATCATGAGTATTTCTGCTTAGTTCACATTTTGGTATATCAGATTTTAAGTGTACAAGATCAAGGTCCTAAATGTTCCTTGTTTAATCCTTTTAACAACTTCAACATATCACGTATATCAAGTAATGATTTACTACCAGTCTAAAGACATGGGTCAAACTAAAACATGAAATAAAAATATAAGGAATGAAATTGGAGAGGTAAAAAAGAATCTAAACGATATTTTCTTGTTCCCAAGTATGATAAGCTTTCTGTATTTGCTTAAAAAACTGCAACTATTATACTAGCTGTTAAATAAAAACAAATAAAAATGTAGATCTCAATAAGTAAAACAAAATTTTGGTTAGAAACAATTTGATATAATAAAATTTGAAAAACTGAAACTAGTACTTAGATGACCATATTTAGTACATGAAAACATTACCTAATACAGATTGTAGTAACATTAAATCATGGTATCTATTCCAGGATTATATGGCACACATCAATATTCCTACTGCCAGACTATGCAGGGAGAGGAAAATTTCATTCTAAGATATATAATGCAAAATGAAACGTTTTCCAATATTCAAATAAAAAAGATGTACCATCAACATAGGTGAACATATTTCACCCTCCTAAACAGGTATTTTTGTATGAACAGCCAAAGTTATCTACACCAGTGACTGGTGTTTCTAGAGTAAATGATTCATTTTACTTAAAGCGCATCAATTTTAATGTTGACACTGAATACCCAGAATGTTTAATAAATCATATTAAAGTAAAACTTAAAGGAAAATTACTCCAGAACGTTTACATTGCTTACACTTAACAAACAGATAAAAGCAGCCACAGAATGTTAACTCTATAATAAATAATTCACATATAACATAGATTAGGCTATCAAAGCAAGGATTAAACTGACATCTTTACAGCTTTTTGTAGATTTAACAAATTCCTAATCTACTACATACTGACAGCAGTAGGTATATTTCTGGACATCAGTCTATTTAAAAAATAGATTGGTTGTTGAGAGGCGTAATTTGTAAAGCGAGATAACCAAATTAAATAACAAAATTTTAACAAATATTGGCTTTTCAGAATTTCTTTAAGAAAAGATTCACGAGGATTGCTCAAATACTTGAGAATAATTAAATCTCCTCTTTACTCAGGCACTTTTAACGCAGTAACCTCAGGCTTCATTTTGAAGTATTGGTTAAAACGAACAATTGCATACCTAGTGAGAAAAGTGAATAACAAAATTAGTCAAGGCTGAAAACTTAATCCCTCATTTATTTCCACTCACTCCCCTAAACTGGTTGTTTAAAAGTTTTAAGATTTCAAAGGACGTATTTTTAGTTTACTGCACCACCTACTGGACACTTTTTCTAATTCAGAGAACACTTAGATCTCCTCGCAGCCCAAATGTTTGCAGCCTTTATATCTGACTGACAAAATTAAGTGCAAAGTTTTATGAGTTCTCAGAGTTAATCCAAAATAAGAGTAGAAACAAATGTAATGCATACAGTAAAATTAAAACTTACCCAAGAAAATCAAATTCAATTGTGGAGTATTTGGCTTGAATCAAAGCCCACAATCCCCAAAAGAAATGAGAAGCCTGAAAGAAGGCAGAAAAAAATTCAAGAATTATGATAATGCATTTCTTTACAAAACAAGTATCAAATTGTTAATTGTTAATCCAATTGTGAAAACCAAACTTTTTCATCAAGTTCATGCATATTTTCTTTCTCACTGCTTTTATTATATAAAATATTTAAAATACAAATAATACCGAAGTGTACAGTTAGCTGGATGGCTAGAGATCATTTCTGCCCACACCAGAAGAGATAAATTATAATCACTTAAAAAACAGAGCCCAATTTCTATAACCTGCTTTGTACAAAACACAGTTCAGCATTAATACTGATAGATGTTACTTGTGTTTTTAATGGTAATAATTGCTAAAAGGCTTTCCTATGTTATTATCAAAGGTCTTTGTTGACATAAAAATATTTAAAAAAAGGAAAATACAAATCCAAGAAACAATAGATACTTAAATGTGAAGAATGGTCTAGAGATGACAAATATCTGAAAAACAATTCTACTGACTCTATTCAGCATAACCGACCACAACATAAAGGAAACAATACAACTTCATTTAAGCCAGAGAAAAACAAGTCTGAGGAATTGAAAGGAAAAACAGAAGAATGTGTAAGTAATTAGGAACTAAAAAATAACTGTGTGTGTGCTTTACAATCTATTTACAGTTGAATATGATACTCTTACATTCTAATAACACTAATAAAATTTCACTTCCTAAGAAATCCTGTAAATAATCAGAAAAAAAATTCTTAAAGACAAGGTTTTTGTTTCAGCTAAATTCACTGTGCTACTATAGTAACAACAAAAGTTCTCTAAGAAAAAATTACTCAACAACTGTGATCTTGGTATTAAAAATAAAATTAGAAAAAAAATAAAATGAATTTGGCAGCTGAAGCTGCAGTGTACCAGAAATAATTGTTGATTTGTAAACGAGGCATGGGTGTTCAAGCCTAGTCTCTGTCACTAACTCACTTTGCAACCTTTAACAGTCACAAACTTTGAGTCTCTGATTCATAACTTATAATATTGGAATAATATTAGCATTCTGTATTCTACATGTGACTGTTTTAAAGGTTAATGGAAACAATGTTAAAAAAAAATTTTACCTACTAAAGCACTCTACTTAAAATGTATGTTGCTGTGATTACTGTTGCACTTTGTTTTAATCTCCCTAAAAAAATACCACTAACAGGATATGTGTGTGTGTGTGTGTGTGTGTGTGTATAATATTATATATATATATATATACTTGCTATCAAATACAAGTATAAAAAAAGAATAAAGCATGTAGTAAAGAGTAAAGGGCTAAAGACGCATGCACATGAAGCATAAGAAAAGAAACATGGGCTCTGGAGTCAGACTGTAAAATTTACTAGCTGTGTGACTTCGAGCAATTTAATTAACCTCTCTGTGCCTTCATTTCCTCATCTGTAAAGAGTAAGTAATAATAGTATTGACACCTAGCATATAGTAAGTATCCAATAAAATATTAGCTATTGTTATATGAAATTAGAATGACAAAAATGATAAAGATTTTTCAAAAATGGTCTTCTTTCTACCTAAGGCAGTACCTAAGGTATTGAGAGTGAATTATGAGATGAGATGAATTCCATTTGAAAGTCTAAATCAATGGTTCTCAAAGTGTTGTCCATGTATACCTCCGGGAGGTTCTGAAGGCCCAAAACTATTTAATAATACTACTAATAAGCTATTGGCTTTTTTCACTTGTGTTGACATTTGAACTGATGGTGCAAAAGCAATGGTGGGTGAAACTACTGGCATCTTAACGTAAGTCAAGGCAATGACATCAAACCACTCAAGTAAAACCTGTGAAAGCCAGAACCTGTGTAAGGTGGAAACCTGTCAGAGAAGGAAAACACAAATATTTTCCACTAAAACGAATGATAAAAAAGTGGTAAGACTGCCCCCTGTCAAAGGCGGAAAACTTGGCAAGACCCGGAAAAAACAAGGCAGTCAAGTTCCAGCTCTCACAGTTTTCACTGTAGTACAGTAACCTTATTCTTTTATCACCATACACAGTAAAAAGCCAGTCTTACTAAAGAATGTCTTTATTAAGCCATTACACCTATTAATTTTATTAACTCTTGACCCTTGTTTTAATATTCTGTATGATAAAACAGGAAGTGCACATAAAGCACATCTGCTGCATACGCAAAGGCTGTCTCAAGGAAAAGCAGTTGTATGATTGAGTTGTGAGCTGAACTCACACATATTTAATGGGACACTATATTTACTTAAAAGAACTGATATATGAACCTAAAGTTAATCAGACTTGGGTATCTGGCAGACATCTTCTCAATATAGGGGGTCGTGTCACTTGAAGAAAAATAATTGACAGTATTTGTTGCCAATGATAAAATTCGACCTTTCAATCAAAAATCTGAATTTCGGAAATCTGTATTTGATTTCATGAACTTAACAGCTTCTCAGTACAGTACGTAAAACTTTGCTGATGATACTGGTAGTGATATCAGCTAATGTAATTTTTTGATACCATGTAATAAAATGTATCAACATTTGGAAAATCTGCACAACTCAATGTATCAGAACTTTCCAAATTTAATGTATAATGTTATAATTACATGTATGAGTAAAAAGAGCCATTCAAAGTCCAAGATAAACCAATGGATTTTAATGTATTAGAGATCAGAAAGTTAACTGGTATGTTCAGACTCAACATTACAACTAACCTTTTAGGAAATTACTACTTGTTGAGTTTTGGTATAGTATCAAAAAAGAATATCCAGTTATCTAAAAAAGCAAAATACTCCTGTCTTTTGCAACAACATACATGTGTGAAACTGGGTTTCTTCATATAGTTCAACCAAAACAATAATACTGAAGCAGATGGAATGCAGAAGCAGATTCTATAATTCAGCTACATTCTATTATGCCAGATATTAAATAGATTTATGAAAGTGTAAAATAACACCACCCTTCTGATTAAATTTTTTTTTGTTTTGGAAAATAGTTTTTTTTTTCACTTTAAAAATGGTTTTTATGTTAACATGTAATGAGTTTATTAATAAAAATTTTTAAATCTATATTTAGCATTTTTTAAAAAATTTTGTTTTAATTACAAATATGGTAAATTATTGATAGATATAATCCACATAAACAAAAGCTCCTAGAGGGCTTCAAAAAATTTTAAGAGTAAAAGGTGATCCTGAGACCAAGAAGTTTGAGAATCACTAGGCTAAATCATCTTGGCATATTTTAAGTAACATAAAACTATTCGTAGATTGTACCCTAATCTCTTCTTCCTATTAAATTCATTCTGTGGTAGAAAAGATATTGAAATCAGGGATCTTTCTGGACCTAGTAATGACCCTAAGCCAGCTCTTCCCACCATTTTCAAACAGAGTTAGTAACTGTATTTCTCAATAAAGTTTTATTTATAAAGTACTATAAATAACTAAATGATTCCATATTGGAAGAAGCATTATACATAAATCCTCATAAAAATCTCATTTTGGAAGATAACACTTTTTTATAGACTGAAAAATGAAAAATTTATATATAACACACAAATGGATCTAAAGAAAATGCTTTGCTTGCAAGACAGGAAATAGCCTACTCATCAATTATATTCCCAAAAAGGCCAAAGAAAAAAGTTCTTATTCCAAATAAAATAATATACTCTGTGATTCTGTGACTTACTTACACTATTTCTCTCAGATTGAGAATTTATGAGTATGTAAGTCTCTTTGTTAAAGGGAATTTTAATTTCCAGGCTACCCACCCCTGATGCAAAGAAAACTTCAAAGCTTTATTTTGTGAGCAAATAACTGAAATAAACCTCCAACCTGTTTTCTGAAAAACCTCTACTTAATCCTAATAATTTATTTAGAAAGAATCCTTTCCAAGTTTTCAAACAATGTGTCTAAAAACTCCTCAAAGTTTAAAAAGGTAATAAATACACTGTTTAGTTTTATAACACAAATGTCTAGTTTTGTCTGTCATCTCCTCAAAGTTACTTAACTATAGTAAACGATAACACTTTTGATTTTTGTAAAATACTGTCAACTGAAGTCTGCTAATCTTTAGAAGTCTGGGTCATGTCCTGGGCAGTAAATACGTACTAATCATTTATGTGAGAACATCACACTATGCTAGGTATTTGGAGATGCTCAGATCTCATGCAGGCTTCGTTTTTTTAACCCTCATCAAAGCAGCTTTATAATGCATTTATTTACTTGGCTTCTTAACGACAGTGATCATGGAAGGTGGGGGTCCACAGACGAAGAAATAGTATTTAAAACATGTCCATAAGAAACAAGAGGAATTTGCTGGAGAGACCAAGAAAAGGGCATTCTAGGGAGAATAAACAACCTATGCAAATTACATAGGCAAAAACATCACTGAATATTCAGAAAACAAGAAAATGACTCTGCTAGAGCAGAAGTGTGAGATGGAAAACAATGGGAATAAGACAATTTGCAGTTGCTATCATTTAGATTTCATTCTGTAAGTCATAAGGAGCCATAAAACAGGAAATGACACAATCAGATTCTAATTATTTAGAAAGATCACTTTTTTTAAATGTACAGGATGAATTAAAGACAGGGAGAACAAGAAACTGAAGGCAAAGAGACCAGCAAAGGCTAATGTAGATAGGGGATTAAGGCTTAATCAGAGGTCACAGAATTAAGGAGAAAGGGTTGGAATTGAGAAAATGTTTAGGAATCAACAGTAACAGAAGTTGGACACAGAAGAAATGGTAAGGATAAGGAAGGAGAAGATATGAAAGAAAATTTCCTAGTTTTGCAATACAGCAACTGAATGGATGACATTTTAATTAAACTGAGTAGTGAAATAAAGACTAAAGAATGGGGTAGAGGATAGGGCGCACGAAAAAATAAATTTAGGTTTAGATATATTGTGGTCAGATACTAATGGAACTCCAGTTAGAGAGCAGAGTCAGTACTGATCTAGAGCTCAACAGTGGATAGATACAGAAATCGGGATCATTAACTGAAGGGCCATGGGACCAGGTCACTCAACAAAAGTATGTAAATTGAAAAGAAAGGGAGCTCAGAATCAGAACAGTAGGAGACATCAACATGTAAGGGGATTGGGGGAACAGGAGAAAAAGGAGCAGCCATGTAAGGAGACAATGCAGGAAAGGACAAAAAAGTAGAAAGAACCAGGGAAGAATGTTATCACGAAAGTTAAGGCAGAGAAAACTTTAAGAACCAGTAGTAAATAATGTCAAATGTTATGGACGCATCAAGTAAGATAAGAACTGAAAAGTTTCAATTGGACTTAACAATTATGTCATTCCTGGTAACCCTTACCTGAAATTTTTTTAAGATGTGAGGAAGAAGGCAGACTGCAGTGGTCTGAGGAGTGAATGAAAAATGATAAAGGAGAAAGACTGAGGGTTTGCTTTTATTTTACCCTGCTTTCCTAGTTACTTTTTCATTCAAACCCTGGGAGTGTGACAGGCTTTTTACTCAATGGTCAATGGATGAGATTAAGAGTTGATAAGGAAGGTAAACTAAAGAAGCTATAAATACAGTCTTGAAAAGGAAAGATAGGTTTTCAAAAGGAGAGCTGGTAATCTCAGTGAAAGGGGCCGGACCGTGTGAGTGTTTGCTAGTTTCTGCTATATTCTTTTTATTGTGACACAAGAAAGTAACCCATCCCAGAAGAAAAAGGTGAGAGGGCAAGAAAAGCCCATGACAGAGAATTATCAGAATTTAGTTAATGTAGGAAGAGTAATTCAGAGAAAAACTGGCTTAATAAATGAGCTTTTACTGGTTTCTTAATGAGGAAAAACTGTGAATTGGTATCAGAACCTCAAAGTACAATAAATTTACTATACATACTTTTTGCAAAAACTATGCATACATAAATCCAGAGGACATCCCAAAACGGTTAGCAGCCGAGTGTTTAACCACTACACCACCAGGGCTCCTCAAATGGGGAATACTACTAAAATTTTCTGTATCTTTTATCATTTTTCCATCAGACCTTCTACTGAATGTTTAACATTTCACTGAGTATGAAATCTGCTGTACATTTGATGGAAACACTTTAAAAAAACAAAACAAAAAAACTCAGGTTTAAGAAGTTTCTTTCCAATCCTAAAAATTTGTTAAGTATCTTAAGTAGCAACAGGCATTGAATTTTATCAGATAAAAAGCTATTTTCTACATCTTATATGGCCTTCTAAATTATAAGCAGCTAAATTATAAGAAGAGAATGCATCATTTACTCCTTTTCCAAGCCTCCAATTTAAGTGACCTAGATTAACCCAAAAACCAAACCCATTGAAATTGAGTCGATTCTGACTCATAGCGACCCTATAGGACAGGGTAGAACTGCCCCATAGGGTTTCTAAGGAGCTGCTGGTGGATTCAAACTGCCAACCTTTTGGTTAGCAGCCGAGCTCTTAACCATTATACCATCAGGGCTCCTAATATCTGATTACTGGATATTTATAGACAACTTGGTGATCAAACCATTAGTAATTATATTTTTCAATACCATATATAGGAATCAAAAGACACACTGCATTGGACCAATCTGCTGCAAAAGACCTCTTTAAGGTTAAAAAGCAAAGATGTCACCTTGAAGACTAAGGTATGCCTGACCCAAGCCATGGTGGTTTCAATGGCTTCATATGCATGTGAAAGCTGGACAATGAATAAGGAAGACCGAAGGAGAACTGTCACCTTTGAATTATGGTGTTGGCAAAGAATACTGAATATACCATGGACTACCAAAGAAGGAACAAATCTTTCTTGGAAGAAGTACAACCAGAATGCTCCTTAGAAACGCAGATGGCAAGACTATGTCTCACATACTTTGGACATGTTATCAGGAGGGACCAGTCCCTGGAGAAGGTAAAGTAGAGGGTCAGCGGTAAAAGAGGAAGACCCCCAACAAGATGGATTGACACAATGGCTGCAACAATGGGCTCAAGCATAACAATGATTGTGAGGATGGCGCAGGACCAGGCAGGGTTTCGCTCTTTGTACATAATAACATCTAATAACAAAAACATGTATAGCTACAACCACAATATCCAAAAAAGATGTTAAACATCATCAAAGTGTACAAAGAAATCCAAGTTAATTTTCTAATAGCAAACAGTGCTATTATTGACTAAGAATTTATGAGCTAAGTGGAGTTAACATGAAAATCAATAGAAATTCAATGTCTTAGGAATATTAGAAATTAAATGGATACATGAAAAAAATACAAATTATAACAACAGTGATATTCCTTAAGCTAAGACAGAAATAGGCTAAAAAGAAGTTTTAAGTTGATTCTGAAGTTTAAATGGCCTAGTGAAGAGGAAAAAACCCTACAATCTCCATTTTAAGATTAAGCTTAAATAAATAGAAACAGCAGGCGTCCCAGGACCTACTGGAGAACACGCCGTTAATTTAACCAACAGTTCTACCGAAAACAGATGTCAGAACAGCAGGTAAAAGCCACTTTTCAGTACACCCTCTTACCTGAGATGTACTTTGAAAACTCAGGGGAAATGCTGCTTTCAAGACTATGGAAACAGTACATTTATGAGCAGGATTTGTAAAGATAACACAGCAAACATCTCCCATGTCAACTGTACAGAATTATATTAAAACAAAAAGAAGTAGCTTTAAAAAAAAAAAGGTACCTAGAATAAAGTCAACCTAGTATTCAATCTGTCTAAGACCTTAGTTGAAATCTCATTCTGATGCATCATATCATTCTCAAAAGATAACAAATTAAAAAAAAAAAATGCATGTAAAGAGAAGTGGGTCTTGAAAATAATAATAAAGCATTAAAATATCAAAGAAGCTGAAAATAACTGCTTATAGAAAAAAAGATCAAGAAGACAAAACACTAAGTCATGAAAACATAATTCCACTGGTTCTTCCAACCTACTTTTATCATGATAACATTAAGATGTGATGATTAAATGCACTGTGGAAAACTTCATTTACCTTATATCTGACCTTAGTTATATACTTTTTAGAGTAAAAAGAGAGAATTGACATAACATAAAAAACTGCTTCATACATTAACCTTAACCCTAACCAGAATCCATTCATTAAATAATTAATTACTGAGCACGTACCAGGCCAGGCACTGTTCTAAGGGATATAGCAGGGAACAAAATAAAATCTTCGTCCTCCAGTATTTTACATTGTAACAGGGAATTGTAAACAATCGTGTTTTTTTCAAAACATTATTTTTTCAACCATTATTTTGACAAAAATCCCCAAAACATAAAATGGGAAATTACTACTCTATAAGATGATAAACTTTAGGAACTTTTAAATTATACTAAGAATCTTTCACATTTAAACTTACCAACGCAAACTGATTGACTTGAATGAAGAGTATTTCTACTTCTTTTTCAGTTACTTCAGTCCCAAAGCCCTTATATTCTTTGTAGGCTTCAAGGTAAGAACGCAGCCACTGTCCCTGTAGTTCTCTATCTGGATAGAGACTATAATCTACTTCACTAACACCTAAAGTGGAAATAAAATACATTGAAGAGTTTAAAAGCACATTCTCTTCTGCATACCTTACTAATCTATGCCACCTATTTTTTAATTATAAAATGTTTCCATTTTTCACTGGAATACTAGATATTAAGCAGCATTTGTTAATAAATCAAACATTAATTCTATATTCCAGCTTAAACTCTAGTGAATACTACTGTTCATCACCAAAATCAATTCTCATTGCTTTAATTTTTCTTCAAAGTATGAACCACTGGCATCAGATGCCCAAAATCTGCATTTTACTATGCACCTCCAGAAGATTCTTAAGCATACTAATATTTGGAGAACTACCTAGAACTGTGGCTCTAAAACTCTGATTGTGATTCAGGGTAAGAAACACATTTTCTACTGAGACCTTACACACACGTTTACATGATACTGTTTCACAAAACAGAATTTACCCTTACTACACCTTACATTGCTGGTATTTTCTATCACTATTCATCTCCATTCCTTTAAAATAAATTTTAAAAGATAGTCTTTACTCCACAAACTTGACTTTGATTTCATGACCTGCAGTTTGAAAAATACTAATACAAAATAAAGTTCATTGCTATTTTGCCTAGCACTGAAGGTTCTTCATAAACTTTCAAGTTTTAGTTCCATTTTTTTTTTTTCTCCACAAAACAGCACTAAGATAACTGGAGTTTCCTCTTTCATACCCACAGCAGTGGTGGTGATATCTCATTAGATGCACAATTTGACTCCTCTCCTATAGGTAAGATATGTGAAAATATCTACAGCAGATACGTGGGAATATATCATGTATATGATAAACTTACTAGAGGGAAATAAGTGGAAATGTGTAAATTAAAACCTTTCCCAACTTGTTTCCCATCTGGTAACCTAAAGTCTATAAAAATATATGGATACATAAATGTATACAAATACAAATTCAGCAATGAAAACTTCTGACTTGGTATAAACCATCTATGGCAATTCCTAATCTTTAATTTTAGAGTATTTCGTGTTTCAAAATATAAAGCCATAAAATGAATTTTAAATTCCACTTACATAAAAAAACCTAAAACTTTTCTACTTGACAGTCATTACAGATTAATTTCCAACAACTTTTCAGTTATTCATAGCCAAAACCAAAATAAAAAAATCTTGTGCTTTTTTAGTTAACCAACATTCCAAAAGCCCAGGTTCACAATGGAAACAGCAAAGCATTTTACTGTGACCTTGGTAAATTACTTTCCTCATGTGTAAACTAGGAATATTAACTAACTCACAGGACTGTTGTGGAGAATAAATGAAATGACATTTTATAGAGTGCCTGGCAGTATGTCAGGTCTCAATGGAAGAAGTCTCAATTACTATTATTCTCTGATTCATTATATTTATGGTAATTAAGGAAGAAATTTTAGTCATTTCCTCTTTCCTCCAGTGAAAAACCAAAACAAATAAAGAAAGAAAAAAAAAAAACAGTAGGAAAACGTTGCTTCTGTTACCAGCTTATCACCTTTAAAGAAAAAACATTCTAAAAGTCACTTCAAAGTTAAAAAAGCTACTCCACTGGTTAAGCCCTGAATTTTACCTGCAAATTCATTGAAATGATTTCCAATATCATATGCCAGGTAGTTGTATCCAGAATATTCATAATCAATGAACTGTACATCACCTATGTGAGACACAAAAACAAAGACATAAGAAATCAAACATAAAATCAGAATATCCCTATGCTACTTGTAATTAAATAGCTTCCAAAACTCTGTCTCACTGTACGTGCTTGGTTACATGCACTTCTGAGACAATAACAGGGTAAGGCTGTGAATTTTATGGCAATGAGCTTTACAAAATTTAAACAATGTATACTGGTCAACAGCTTCTTTATGAACATAATGGCCACTATAATAAAGAAAAATCAAAATATGGTCATTCTCCACGTTCAAGCAAAATATGTTTTCACCACATGGGGGCATCAGTTACTTAAAAATTCAAGTTGAATTAGGAATGAAAATTTTTATCTTTGGAAACTGTTAGTAAGTTCTGCAATTTAAACAAACAAACAACCTATGACACTCCAATAGTGAACTAACAAGTTTATCTACGTATGAGAATCAAATCTAAACTGTAAAAGGCTTAAAATATATTTAAAACTCAAATTCTGCAAAAGACTTCAATTCTGTGAAACTTACAGTTATGCTACAATAACACTTGCTGATCAACTTCTAATGGTATCCCTATTTTAAAATGTTAGTTGCAAACATACTCATATCTTCCTGGGCTGCTACGTAATTAAGATTTCCAATAGCATACGTGAACAGCATTAAGGTGGCTGTTTTAGCTTTATCTTTTAAAAGAGCAAAGGTATAGTTTCTTTCTAATGCGTTTTTAATTTGGGAAATTTTTACATAAACTAAATAGATTCCTACTCTATGTTACTGTTACATATACACACATATTTCACTATAATTCTCCAAAGACAATCCTATTCCTCCTGCCCAAGGAACATATACCTACTTTAGGAACTTTTAATTTTTAAGTACTAATTATGGAGGAATTTGCTTGACAAAAATATAGGCCCTGTTTTAAAAAAAAAAAAAAAAAAAGAGACAAAAGAAAATGAGGGGGGTTACGGACGTTAAAAAAAACAAAAAAAAGGTGGGTCACTGCCTACACTGGTAATCAGAAACTTATAAGGGCTTGTGGTTTAAGTGGATACATGAACAGAGATGGCTTATAAGAACAGCTGCTTATATTGCAAAATACATAAAACATCTACCTAGTTATACTGCCTTTTAAATATCAAGCTGAAATAACAAAACAAACTCTTAGTCTATACACCCTGGCATTTCCCAAATAAAATAGCTTTTGAACTATAATGTCTTGAAGTAGACTTGTATGTTTAATTTGGGTATGTTAATCACATTTAAACACAGAGAAAAACAATTATAAAAAATTATATGGCAATCATCAAAGCAAAAAAATGTAATTGCATTTAATATATCATTTTAAATTTGTATAAATAATAGTCAAGTCTAGAGTAAGATAAGTAAGAACCATCAAAGTATCAAATCTTAGGTATCAAAATTTATATGCATATTATATAATAAATCTAAGATCGTAAAACAGAGACTTCAGTAATTCAATACATTTCAGCCACCACAAGTATCACATTTTTGAACTCACAGTAAACTACCCCACAGAAAATCTTCAAGTTAACCAAATCACTTTACTAAACTGCAGAACAGGCAGTCGGAACATTTTTAAAATTTTTTCACAGGAATAAGATGGTGAAGATCACCATCATGATAAAAAATACATTGCAGCCATAAAAAGATCTCATTTTCAAAAATTATTTAATCACCAGGGAAATTACAAAGTGTTATATTAAAAAAAGATGCAAAATAATAAATACACTGTGATTCAAACTATTAAAATATTATGCCTAAAGAGAATAAAAACATAATGCGTAAGGGGGGGGGGAGATGGACAGAAATATACCAAAATGTTTCAAAAGTTTTTATTATGGTAATAAGAGGCTCTTGTGGGTTTTTTCCTTATATTTTTGTTATTTTCCAGATCCTTTTACTTTTAGGAGGAAAAAATGTTATATTAAAAAGAATGACATAGTGAGTTCTTTACACAAAACTGTCAACAGATAGACTAAACACAATAATTCAGGAGATCCCTTTCAATCCAACTTTCAATAAATTTGGATTACAAGAAGATATAGCTAGTTGCACAACTGAGCAAACAGAAGAGTTTTAATACGTAATTTTTTAAATTGCAGCTGTTGATTGTTTTACCTGTTTAAACACAAATTCTTGTAGAGCTCATATGAACTGTTTCATGCCAATAAAAATACACAGCCCAGTCCTGAAGCTTACTTTTGCCACCTATATAAAAGCTTCGATTTCTATTTTCTAAATCATATTCAGAATTTGGCAAATATAGTTAAAATGGCAGGTAAAACATGCCTGCTTATAGAGTTAACACACTTTAATTAAAGCACAGATCATTTTAACAAGAGTTAAAATATGTTTCAGTATGAAATTTAGCAATGACTTTGTAGAAGCATTAATTCATTAACGCTAGCCTTTATTTTTAAATGCTATGTCGAGTTTATAAATAATGAAATTTAAAAAATAAGAAAATGAAGCTAACAAGATACAGATGAGGCTGTTACCAGGCTCCGTGCATGTGAACAAGTGATGCGATAAACCTCCAGTCAGTGCGTTTAAGAAGCACGGGGTGCGCCGCCACATGGCAGCAACAATGGCATACCTAATCTGTAGCAGATGAAGAAAATTTGGCAAACTCACATTTTACAAGACACAAAGCTTAAAAGGAAAAAAATTAAAAAAAAAAAAAACTGCATTAACTATTCTTTTTCAAACTATTGCAAGCAAAGTGGAACTCAACCTTAAATTTAATCTTCTGCAACAAAGTAAAAATAAAGAAGCCTACTTCTCTTATTTCGGGTGCCAGAAAAATCAAATTACCACACTGGAAAATGCTTTCCTGTCAACACAAAGTATACTGAACTTCTTTTTCTTCTACAAATTTAACATTTCTGAAATTTCTACAATTTCCAATTATTTAGGGGAACATCTACATCATTATTACTAATAGTTCATATGGCATTACTAACTTGCTAATTCTTTAAGATACAAATTTTTAATTGGGGTTTAATTCGGAAGACAATGAGAATACTTCCTGAAATTGTATACAAAATTTTATGTGTACGTGCATTTTTTTGAGAAGGGGACTATCCAGATTCTCAAGGGATCTCTGATCTCTAAAAAGTAAAGAACCACTTTAAGGGTTAGAACTGTGTTTTACTTATCTTTATATAACTAGCATACTGTCTAGCACATAATGGGTACAACATACAACGAATGAATTAAACTACAATCTAAATTATCTAAAGCTACATTTTGTTTTTTTATTACTGTATATCTTTGCCATAGCAATTAAACCAACACCAGAGTTAAGACTGTTCAAATCTCGATATAGCTAAAAATAAGCCTATCAATTTTAAAAGTACTTTAACACCGAAAAAATTAATTTATTAACGAAAGTTATATAATTTATGATACATTTGTCAGGATTCTTTATTTTGTTGTTGTTAAGGAGAACAAAATACAAATAAAAACAAAAATGAGAACCTGAAAATCTTCCATCTCCCTCTAATTGCTCAAGAGTGTTACAAAGAATGGAAAGAGAATAATGAGAAAAAAGAAATGATAATTACAGTAATGTTAGTAAAATGTTTTCTCTCATATAGAAAACCATTTGTCATTGAGTCAATTCTGACTCATGGCAGCCCCATATATGTTAGAGCAAAACTGTGCTCCACAGGGTTTTCAATGGTTGATTTTTCCTAAGTAGATCACCAAGCCTTACTTCTGGGGCACCTCTGAGTGGGCTCAAACTTCTAACCTTTCTGTTAGCAGCCAAGTGCATTAGCTGTTTGTACCATCCAGGGACTCCTATACAGAGGAAGGATAGGGAGCATTCTGCTCGGGGAAACTTTCCCTTAATATCTCACTCTTGTATCCAGCCATACCTGGTGTACACCTTCACCACAGCACTCATCATTCTAAATGTAAATATGTAAAGATCTGATTCCTCCACTACATGGTATATGGCCTCCTCATGGGGCAGTAGGTCCCTTTCATCTTTCATCAATCCACAGTGTAATCCCTAGTACACAGGAAGTACTCAAATGCTAGTGTAATAAATGGCGGTTTTGCAGAGAATGCTGAGACACAATGATAACACACATATTTAAATGGTGGGGGAAGCAAAATAAACATGAAATATTAAAGAAAGTATGACATTTTTTACATTCTTATTCAAGTATATAATTAAACATTTAGTGGGCCTGAATGCATGAGTAAAGAAAAAATAAATTAGCTAGTTCTATAAGCTAGTAACTATTTTACTAACTTCCTTATTAGTTATTACATTAACTTCCTTAATAGTTAAGGTTTTTACAGTCCATTTATGAGCCCTAGTGGCAAAGTGGTTAAGAGCTTGGCTGCTAACCAAAAGGCTGGCAGTTCGAATCCACCAGTCGCTCCTTGGAAACCCTATGGGGCAGTTTTACTCTGTCCTATAGGGTTGTTATGAGTCAGAATCAATTTGATGGCAATGGGTTTGGTTTGGGTTTTGTTTTAGGTTTTTTGTTAACTGATTTAGGTAATATTTTATCCTAAATAGCAATATGGAATATAAGTTAAAACAGCATTAAGATTATCCTCCATAAAAACTCCATCCTGGAAAATGTAGGTTAGCAAATAAAAATAATTAATTTTATTTATTTTAAAAATAAAACTAATGAAAAAACTGTTCTCAGTCAATAAAACAACCACAACGCCTTTTCATGGATAACAGAGTATTCTCACTTCTCACTTACTGACATGGTTAGGTTCAAAGACGAGGTCATTAAGTGAAAATCGGCATTAGGCAAAAATGGAGGACGACCATATCAGATCACAAAATGGAGGATGACTACATCATTACATAACTGCCAAACTGCTGAGAAGCATGGCCCAGCCAAGTTGATACATAATCTTAACCATCACAGCCAGCATTACTCTCCCCTCACACCTTGGTATTCGTTACTACCAGATATATGTCATTAATGCACAAAATAGTCGGATAGTAGATTTTTTACTACAGTCATAAATGCGAAATGTCAAATAACAAGATAATCAATAAGTGAGGAGATGCAGGTAAGATTTAGAGCCAATCAAGGGACTAAAAATGGTGACTCACTTATTTTCTATTTTTAATGTATAAAACTCTAAAGAAAAGCCTAGTTTATTCTATTAATTCCCAGAAAAAGTTCTCCTTTCCAACTACTCATCTGTATTTCCTTAAAGAGCTATAAATCAGCCTCTTGTATTTTGCTGACAGAGAAAATAATCAATGATTTCCATTACTGAAATTTAAAGTTATATATTAGATCTTTATATGGGCTTTTTATGAAGAAATGGGGAAAGGGAGGGAAACAAAACAGCCACTAACAGTAATCAGATCAATACACATTCTGACAAAGGATTAAGACATGAAACAACAATCTCAAAAGCTTTAGCAATTGCTTCTGACATGTTAGCAGTTAAAGCATTAGTTAAAATTAAAATATTATATTTGGAATAGGTTAGGTAATAAGCAATATTATAATCTGTTCTACTTAGTATAAGTTGTTTATTAAATTAATAATTAATGAATTTAAAAGGTGACTGGAAAGTTTTACCTCACAGTTTTGGAGCAAGAACGACTGCTTTTGGTTTTCTTATTATGGTATTAAATTCTAACATAAATTAAGTATTCTTTTCTTGCCTTTTTAAGATGTCATTTCACTAAAGACAAGGAATAGGTAGCTGTTTACCAACTACCCGGCTAAGTCCTGGTACTGACTAACTTTTCAAAAATCTTGACAGCTACCACCAGCTTCAGAAAGGAAGCTCACTCTTCTCCCATATTCATGAGTCCTGTCAACTGACATGATAAGAGCAAATAGAGGCAGTATTTCTTCCTGTGATGCCTACCAGTTCCAGTAGCATTCCCAGATAAAAATGTCTGTAAACTGCAGGGTGCTCAGTTTCTGTGTGTGTGTGGTATGTGAATATGTATATATGTATGTATACATATAAAATTTTTTTTATTTTAAACTAATCACTTAAGTTATCCTTAACATAGAAACTGTAAGTTGCATTTAAAGACAACCTGAATTGTCATCTCATAGCTATGAACCATAATTCCACTAGTCAATGGACATAGTTAACCTTCTGGCATACAGTTAACCATTTTTCATTTTTTCAGAATCAGGTATATTTTGTACAAATGTATCCTATAGTCATAATACAAGAGTTGGCAAACTATGGCCTCAACAGGCCAGATTTAGTCCTGTAGCCTGTTTTTGTAAATAACATTGTATTGGATCACAGCCACACTTATTTATGTATTGTCTATGCCTGCCTGGGTGCTTTTTTGTTTATGTATTGTCTATGCCAGCTTTCGTGCTACAACACAGTGTTGAACAGTTGCAACAGAGACTATATAATGGCTCATGAAGTCAAAAAATATGTACTATGTGTCTCTTAAAGAAAGTTTGCCAACCCGTCACATTATTATAGCTGCAACTGAGAATGACCAAGTAAGTACCTGGCACAGTGTATATACTTTATACACATGATCTTAAATTTTCTCAGCAACTATCCTTAGTAGATATTATCTCTAAGTTACAAATAAAGAAAACTTAAGTTCCAGACTATCAACAGTACTCAAATTTGATGTGTATAAGAACTGCCTGGGAACGTGTTAAACATTCAGAGTCCTAAGCCCATCTACAGAAATTCTTATTATTGGTCTTGGATAAGGCCCAGAAAACTACATCTTGGCCAAGTATTGTTGGTGATTCTGATGCAGACACTTAAGGATCAAATAAAAACATTTATAAAGAAATAAAATGACTTGTCTAATACCACTTACCTCTAAGTGACTGAGCAGAGATTTGGACCCAGGTGAGACTGGTTCTGAACTGTGCACTCTTTCTGACTTCTCTTAGTTGTAACTAAGTGTTAATACAAATCTGCTTTTAAGAGTTGCTGATTTTTAATCTAGTTATACTATGCAAATCTAGGTTATTATGGTTTAAAAATACAGGCAGAGACTTCAAGATGATCCAATATAACTTCATAAAGTTCACCTAAAATTTGTACTTCTAAGAAATTTAAAGTCTGAAACCTACAGCAGACATATACTGTGCTTGATGATGGGAAGGCCAAACCCTTGGCTTTCATCTTATCTTTACATATTTATATCTCATAGGTGTGTACAAACTGATGAAGCCTCAAGCTCAGGTAAGAAATTACTTAAAAAGCAATAATACATCAAACATGCTTATGAATATAATATGCAGCTTAATCATTTATCCTCTGTGGAAATTATCTTAATCCCAAATGACTCAGACTTTGCTTTCAGAATGCTATAACAAGGTAACCAATTAAGAAAGTAAAGAACTTTACAATATTTATTATCTCTAATTTTAATTAACCGCTTTAAGATTGCTGCCATATATTATTAATGTTAGTCACAAATACACAATTTTTTGCCTATTAAATTTATTGACTTTATAAAATTTACATTTTTTTAAGTACGAGGCATGGCATCTTCTACTTACAATGATTTATATATGTCTTACTGCTTATATTATTTTAAAACCAGTAGCTCCTAATTTGAGACATTTAATACTAAAGACTAGAATAAGCTTTCTGCCACTTTCATGAGTTTCAGATTTTACTTGAACAACATTCCAACTAGACTGTATTTTCTTAGTGCTTATGTATCAACTAATCACATAGGAATTGATGATTTTTTTAAAAATGGATACCACACGATCCATACTTACCCTTCCTAATCAACATCAGAAAACCAATGGTAAGGAAAAAAACAGAATGTCTCCACAAGAAACACACAAACACAGCCACAAGGACAAGAAACAAATGGTACAAAATAGTATTCAATGAAAAAGGGCAGACTCTAAAAAATACGGTCTTGTTGAACTGTAAAATTTATTTTTCTACGTGTGGGAGGGGAGGTAAATCAGATACAAAAGTATGACTCAGGTAACTCTTGGTAAATGAAACAAATGACAACCTTGAACTCCTAAAGCCAAAATAAAGCATAAAGATTTTATCGTAAAATATAGAAAATATCTGTATTACTGATCAGTAGTTTAGAGATATGCAATTGTTTAAGTAAAAAAGTAAAGATGTATTTTGAATACCTAAGACAAAGTAATCTGATTTTTTTGGTCCCTTATTTTTTAGTTTTATAAATGAGTTTCTTCTATGAAATGAATATGCAAAAGAAACTTATAAAATAAAAATATGAAACATTAAAATTATATTCCAAAGAAAATAATATTCTTTTTGATCAACTTGCAGTTAAAAATAAAGCTGAGTGTCCACTTCAAATGTAAGATGAAGTCCCTCACTCAAAATTCCATTATATAAAATGTGTTATTATGTCTCATACTGAACTTTTACAAGCTAATACATTGCTTAAACCAATGCTTTCGCCTCACAAATGGCATTGAGATTTGGTTACTAGTATACAGTGTAGTGCAGATATACTACAATAATTATATATAATAAATGGACATTAATACATTAAAGGACACTGTCAAGTACTTAATGTTTTATGGTGCACCTAAAGTTTAAAAAAAGAAAACAATTATTCCCCACAAAGACTTCAAGACAATTCAAAAATACAGATGTAAGCTCAGTACATTTCTGAAATACAGAATCTCTAATCCATATTAAAATATCAAATATAAAACATACTCAAATATGTTTTTGACAATATGTACATAAGTCTATGACCCTTGACAGTGTTCCTTTAGTGGGTTTTCTTCAAGTTAAAGCCAGCTATAAATATTAACAGCCTTTGTATTAGTCCCAACTTAAAATCTGGTAAGAAAGGTCATAAAGAGTAATTTAATTGAATATAATTATGACCATGTTAATTTGAAGTCTCTGGCTTTAGTATCTTCACAACGGCACACTTTTGATTTAAAATATGAACTTCCAACTATAATGACTATCTTCATAACTGGTTTCCTATATAATGCAATAGCTTCATAGATTGAAACATACTTTTGAATTAATAGTAATCCTTCAACCAAAATTATATTTTTAATAAATTTAGTATTGACGGGCATAATTTAGCAACCAAACCTCAAACCACTTTATCCCACGATATAATACAGCCAAGTATTTATTAATATGAAAAGAGAATCTGAATACAGCAATGAACAATCACAAAAAACATTCCACCAAAAAGTATCGCAGTATCACTGTCTACCTCAGAAAATGTTAAAACTATGTATCATAGCTTCTGGAATATTACTTTAGTAGATATAAATTTGAGCAACTACAAATAACATTCCCTCCATATGTGGCTCTCTCCTTAGCATTAAAGTATCTAACAAATCAGCATCTACACAGTTAACAGGAAACCTGGTGACATACTTGTTCCTAATATTGTCCTCCCAATATTGTGAGGGGAGTCCTGTATTTATAAAGCAGTGCAATGTCCATTTGTTTTTTAATAACCCCCATTACAAGCAAGTACATTCCACTCTCAAACCATGAATTATAAAATAAGCTTTACAGTTAAATTTATAAACAGTCATTTTATCATTTTACATTTAAAATTCTAACAGGACCCACAAACTGTTTCTCATAAATCAATTTTAAAAAAACATATTATAAATATATACAGAGAATATATATTTCTAATTTATCACGGCTACCATACATTATAACCTAAAAGAAAATCTTTTAAAGACTTAATGCGTGTTTTTAATCTTTGCATTTGAGTTAAATTCATTTTCACTGATACAAAAACCATTAAGAATATAAAATAAATCAATTTTACTTACTGCTAAGGTCAAATACCTACCTTGTTTCTCATTGTAGATTATATTCTTACACAATAGATCATTATGGCAAAGCACAACTGGTGAGCCCAAGTTGGAAAGAATCTCCTTCATCCAAGTCATCTCTTCTTGAAGAATCTGAGGGCTTGGGATATCACTTAGGAACCTTTTCATTTTAAAAGAAGAGTTATATCCTGTTTATCTTAATGACATGTTTTTCAAGTTTGAATAAGGTTTAAATCTATTTTGAATAAGCCCTTTCCATTTGACTGTACATACTCCTGAATTAAAACAATAGGCCAATTATTCCAAAAGTTGGAATAAAGAAAATCATTTTTTGAACTTATACATAAATGAAAAGAAATGGAACAACAGTTAAGGATCAGTCAGGAAAGTATAAAATATATTGCTACGAAACCGCAAAAATAAATAAATAAAAGGAATACATATATAGCTAATAACTAACTTTACTAAGAACTATTTTAAATGTTTTATATTACAATAATAGGTACACTATTATCTCCATTTTGCAAAGGAGGAAAAAAACTATGGCACAAAAAGCTAAAAAAAAAAGTTTAAGATATTATTTAAAATTATAAAGACAGCCAATTTGAGAACTAAAAATATTTATTTCAAGTTTTGAAGGGTGAATGCAGTATAATCAAAACCAGACTCGTTGCCATCAAGTCAAGTCTGACTCACAGTAACCTTACAAGACAGAGCAGAACTGTCCCACAGATTTCCAAGAAGCAGCAGGTGGACTCAAACTGCCAACCTTCTGGTTAGCAGCCAAGCTCTTAACCACTGTGCCACCAGGGCTCCGAATGCATTATAAACCCATTAAATTCTTACCTAGATTCACGTTCCAAAATCAATAGATACTGTCTATAGTTGATAATTCAAGAACTAAGGGTAGTCAGAATCAACTCGACGAGAAAGAGAACTATTATAGAAATTGCCTCAAGAGTAATGTGATGTGGGAAGGCGAGAGGAGGAAGAGCAGCAAGCAGGCATAAAGAGAATGGCTTTTTATCCTAAACTCTTCTTACTATTTATTGTTACATTTCTATCGTTTGAATAAAAATAAAACGAAACAAAAATGGGCTGCTACTACTTATTTCTCAATAGCACCATCAGGCATACAAATTTCTGTTAATTTACTCTTTCTCTTCTTCCCTCAATACTTTAAATCAAGTTCTCTTGAGTATTCCTTCACAGATTTTCTCAAATTATTCCTTACTTTTCATTTTTACAATACTTAAATCTAGACTCTTTTTACATCACTGAATTCGTCTACCCAGGTGGTTTCCACCAATATTTTCCCCACTATTACAATCTTTCCTACACATAGCTGCCAAGAGTGATCCTTACATGCTCTTTTCAAAATAGTATGACTCTGTTCAAGAACCTCTCAATTAAAAAGTAGCGTTGAATGGAAATGACAGGATTCAAAGGATTATGAACACGACAATTATAATCCATATACAAGCACAGGAAAACAAGAAAACACACATATTTCTAGCTGTATATTTTCTATGAGGCGGTGCTTTCTTCCTGCTGCATCTCTAGCTTTTCTAAAGTATCACCAACCTCAGGGATTTAAAGTATACCTTGGACAATCTAGGGAATATAACCCAAAACCTATGTAAATAACCTTCTTTGGATGATGATGATGATGATGATGATAGCAGCTAACATTTATTTAGCACTTATGTGGCCAGATACTGTTCTAAGAATTTTATATGTACTAACTCAATTAATCCTTACAAAAACCCTATAAGGTAAATACACTACTTTTTCATTATCTCCATTTTACAGGTGAGGTTACAGGGGTAAGTAACTTGCCCAAAGTTACACAGCTGAACTAGCAATTGGCAGAACTGAGATTTGATACTAGGCAATCTGGCTCCAGTCTTGTACTCTTAACCCACATAATACTATAAAAATAAAATAAAAACCATTGACTTCAAGTCAATTCTGACTCATACTACCTGTCAACTGTGTATGATCTTAAGAAGTCAAGAAAATCTCTCATTCAAAATCAGCATTTGTTTTATTTTTCTTAAGTAGTTTTCCCCATAATCTTTCAATAAAATATTTCAAAAAAGAATTCTCTAGTTTTATACTGTAGCTTCCTGAATATACAGCACACTAGACACTGTTCCAGAGGTATGCCCATCCAGTTTAAGGGGTATAATTAACCCTTATCTAGCTCAAAGTTTGACAAACTAATCAATAAATGCAAACACATACACAGAGTGAACCAAACTAATCTTTGAAATAATCAAACTCAATGGAACAATGCAAGTATTTTTCCCTAATGCATTATTATTGAAAACAAGAAAACAAAACACAAATTTATAGGTTCTGCTGGTGTCTGTTCTTGAAACAAAGATTTTCTGAATACAAAGATATAGCCTTCAGTATGCTTTAGATATAAATGACAAAATAAGGATTTCCAATTTTTGTATTAGTACTAATCACACTATGTAATGATATGATCATGTAATTTAGATTTTAAATACTGATCTGTAAATTTTTTTTATATAGAAAATAATGAAATACCTTTATCAGTCTGAACCTGGAGAGTCGGTTTACAAAAGTTTAGTAATACTCCAGTTAACTGAATTTTCAATCACCATCTAGAATTTAAAGACTCGTAATAAACTGTGACTCAAAACTTTTTAATACCCCAATATTACTATACTCTCCTAATGTTGATCTCAAAACCTAGTCATACAGCTTTGGGGTGGGGAAGAAAGGGTCTATACGGCCAACTCATACTATTCAAAAACATGCTCATTTATACAGCTATTTATACTACCGCATTTTATGCAAATAACACCCACGTAAATAAAGCACCCACACAATGTATGGAAATGATGAAATTAAGTAAAACAGTTCTGGCATAGTGTGCATTATTTGCATAAAAATACACTATGTTTACTTCCAAATAAATGTTCTATACACTCACTCCTCATTTATTGACTTTAGGTTCCAAAGACCAGGTCGTTACATGAAAATCAGCATTATGTGAAAATGGAGGATGACCACATCAGATCACAATATGGAGGATGACTACATCATTACACAACTGCCCAATTACATCATTATATAACTGCTGAGAATCATGGCCTAGCCAAGTTAACACATAGCCTTAACCAGACGTACATTGTACATCAGACATACATTGTACATTGTAAACGCACAAAATAGTCAGACAGTAAATTTTTTACTATTGTTATAAATGCAAAATGTTGGCGAGTGAGACAGTCGATAAGTGAGGAGTAGGTGTACTTGTTTCTTGCTCTACTCTCTGTTTTTTAACTTTTTTTTTTTTTTGGAAGAGTTGAGGTGGGTGGGGATAAGAGGCAGTTATTTCTGTAGTGCCATCTTACGGTCAAATGACTCGATATTTATTTTACTTCAATGCAGAGATAACTCAAGCCAGGCTTTATACACAGAAACCTTGTAGTTGTCTTTGAAACACTATTATAGAGCAAAGTAATAAAAAAATATGGAATTTCAACTGTAAAAATCGTTTTACCTTTTATTAATGTCTTCATCTGCAAATCCTGTGGGAACGAGAGAGAAATACTTTCCCATCTTTAGCCACAGATTAGACTTGGGAATCCAGCCATTGTGTGCATGGATAGCATGGATTTTAGCAAGCTGACGAGCTATTAGCCTGTTTAAAAACAAAACAGCATAAGAATAACTTAAGTATCATAAAGTTCATCTGTACTCATAGATAAACTGAAATGCCTCGTGTGCATTTATTTTATAGCCTAATTTAATTTTTATTATATATGATATTCAAAATAAGTTGGCAAGTGAATTTTCACTTGCAAGGAGAGACAAATGTTTAAAGCATTAGTGGAAATAAATCTACAATTAACACGGCAATCAAATATTTTATCTAAAAGGGGCTGCGTTCCTGGAAGTAGGTAGTCTATTTTGATCACACAAACGTTTGAGACCAGCAGAACAATACACAATTATAAATGATTTCAAGGTACATATGAGATATTAACCAGAGATATATTAAAAATAAAATGATCCACTCCAATTATGTGGGGTCTTTGAAGTCACAGGTCCCAGGGTGGCGCAAAAGGTTTGCGCTCAACTACTAACCTAAAGGTTGGCAGTTCAAACTCACCCAGTGGTGCCACAGAAGGCCTGGTGGTGATCTGCTTCCATAAAGATAACAGCCAAGAAAACCCTATGGAGCAGTTCTACTCTGTAACACATGGGGTCACCATGAGTCAGAATTGTTGTCACTGAGGTAAAAGGACAATGAGGGATTACAGTGAAAAGATAACTGGGTAGGCAGATAAATGGGTTCTGTGAGATAATTTGTGTACCTGTGTTACAGACAAACTTTCTGAACAAATTTTAGGATTTTATAATGTCAGAATCACAATCTTCTTGCAACAAAAAAAGGAATTTGAAACTCTGTATACTTGTGTCCTTGCCATCTATAGAATCTACAGACTAGATTCTACATAGTAGCTACTGAAGAAACTGTTCAGAAACAAATTTACAAAACAGCTTATAGCCTAGTGAGATGGCAACAGTAATTCTCAAACTGAAGAACTCAATACAGGTAGTCCCCAACTTACAACGGGGTTCTGTTCTGACACCTCCATCATAAGTCAGTTCTGACATAAGTCGAATACTTTTTTTTTTTGTTTTAGTTTTCATTATTATTTTTTATTATCAGGATCTTTATAAATCCGATCTTTGAACATCTGAGAATGACAGCATCGTAAGTACCTATTACTAACTATAAGATGCAAAAAAGAAAAAAAAAAGACATCATAAGTGTGGTTCATCATAACTCGAATACATTGGAAGTTGGGGACTACCCGTATTGGTAAATTTTCTAGATACTTAACAATCTAATGCAATACTACTCAAAGTATAATCTACGATCAGCAACATCAGTTATCACCAAAGAATGTTTTAGAAATGGAAATTCTCAGGTCCCACCTCAGATCTACTCAGTCAGAATCTCTTAAGTGTAGACCCCAGCATTCTACATTTTAACAAGCTCTCCAGGTGGTTCTTACACATCCTGAAGTTTGAGAAACACTGATGCAAGCTTGGTTGTGTACTGAAATCAAACATGCAAGTTCCAAAAAAGAGAGAGGCCTGTGTACCACCTACAGAAATTCTGATTTAATTGGTCTGGGGTGCAGACAAGGCATCAGAGATATTTAAAAGTTTCCCAGATAATTTTAATATGCAAAAACATTTGAGAACCATTCAACTAAGGCACATAGAGACTCTAGCATTGTAGTGATTCTTCACTAACCTGTGGTTATATAGCAGTCTTATTACATTCTTTAACAACAGTGAATATTCTTTCTTTCATCTAACTAGTTTCTAGTAACAAAAGAATCCTGCTTTTCCTTTGGGGGAAACTTCTATCCCTTCTCACTCCTAGTTCATGTGGTTCATGCAGAGCTGATTTCAATTCTATCCCTATTCCATCCCCATCACTACACGTAGGAGTAGACATATGATCCAGATTTGCCCAGTACATCCCTTCTTTTAGGACACAGAGTGATTGGTTCAGGGCATATCACCCAAACTAGGCCAATGGGACTTGATCCCAGAACATTAGTTGAAGCCATTAACTTTGGATGAAGCAAGCTATCCTCCTTCACCCCTCACCTCTACTTCCCATCTCACCCCACGCCCAACTGGAAAGGCTAAACTGGCTGGATAAGCCTGAAACTACTGATCATTATTATTGCCACTCTTAATCAAAGTCTGCCCAAAAATAAAGCTAACACAGAAGAAAACAGAAGAGAGAAAATCCTATGACATTGTTACAGCCCCTGGATCCATCTATGTTTGAACTCTAGTCTCAGTTTTATATACCAATAATTTCCTTCTCTCTTAAATCTGATTTTCAAATTATCATCCTCAATCAAGAGTCTTGACTACTGCATTACCAAAATATTAAAATCTGTAATCTTTCTGCATATGGGTGGTTTGGGTCATACCTCTTAAACAAATGAACAAGCAAACATCAATTCATATGAATTAGATAATTACTGCTCCACCTACCCTCCCCAAGACCATGTCTACAAAAAGTAAATACAGAAAAAGGAAACCTATTTTCCCACCAGTCTCTCATACACACACAGAAAGCTAAACCCAAATGAACATATGGTATCAAGCACCAGGTAACTTCATGAAAAAGCCAGGTGATAACAAAATCAAAACAAAGTAGAGTGTAAATGCAAACAAAATAGTAAGAACTGGTTTTTAAAGTTTCGGGGTGGAGGGTTGAAGAAAGATACAATGTCTATTACGTAAAACTCAAGGGGTAATCTATGTCAACAGAACATTATGCCCCAGAAATGTTTACTGAACAAATAAAACAGGCGATTCAAGAGAAGGGTTACATATAGCAGGTATTTAATACCAATAAATTTCATATGCTGTGATTTTTTTAAATAAATGAAAAATGTCATTTCTTTTTTTAAGTTTTTACCCCAGGTTTCTACGAGACCCTGCTCTGCAAAACATAAAATAAAGTCACAGAATTGACCAATTTTTATATCTGATTCAGCTGGGAGTGGATAGAATGACATCTGTATGCTAAATACCTCAGAAATGAATAAGATCATATGGTCAGAACTCCAGGTTAATGGAATCTGTGAACATGATAATAGCTACTGAAGAGAAAGCATCTACTAATTTTAAGTACAGTTGTCCCTCAGTATCCACAGGGGATTGGTTCCAGGACTACCCCCCCCATACCAAGTCCCTTATATAAAATGCCCTAGTACTTGCATATAATCTACACATATACTTAAAATCATCTCTAGATTACTTATAATACCTAATACAATGTAAATGCTATGTAAATAGTTGTTTCATCACAATTGAAGACTTGCTTTGGAAGATAGCCTTTCTCTCCTCTGAGTTTCTTGAGCTCTTCTGGGACTGCCGATGCTGCCTGGGCATCAGCTGATGCCAATTTTCCCGTGATCTTGAAGTTTTTGAGGCTGCAGAGCTTTCCATAGCTAGCCAGTCATCCCTTACCAGCTCAAAACTCCTTCCTCTTGCTCTCCTCAACCCCCTCACACTTAGCCTTTGAGGGGTTGCTCTGACCACTTCATTGCTTTTTAGGAGCCATTTTTTCATAGAATCAAAGGGTACACACAACACAAGTAGCAAACGAACAAGATGCGAGGCGAACAACGCTCAAACAACGAGTGCTGGAGAGAGACTGAGGATCTGTGAAATGGCAGGGGGCTACAGTAGGGGATGCCTACACATCATTTCATTCATCTGCACTCAGCACAGTGCTGGACACTAGGCAAATTCAAGTTTTGCTTTTTGGAACTTACTTTTATTTTTTCTTCTTGCATATTTTCAATCCACGGTTGGTTGAATCCATGATGCAGAACCCGTGGATACAGAAGGCCAACTGTACCTTGCTTTTCTGGCAGAAAGGTGGTTAAGTAAGGGACTGAGCCAGGATTTGAAGAGATTATGTGACGCAAAAGTCAAGCCCCTTCCCCTATAAAATACCCCCATAACACTTCACAGAACTAGCTGGGTTTTCATTCTGACTTTACCATCTTATTTGCAGTCTGAACATAAGCAAATCATTTAATTTCTCTGGGTCTCATACTCCTTACAAGGAAAACAAAACAATTAGCCTATTACATAATCTTTTAAGTTCTCCTTCAGATCTAGTATGATTATCATCTACATAAGCATTTAACCTATTTAAAACATTTCAGTTCAATAATGACAACATGAACTTCATACCCATTTTCATACACAAAGATCATGTATATAGACTGACCTCCCATTTCACACAAATTTCGTAGCTTCAATAAGTGATGCTTTACTGCAGTAATATCAAGGCAAAATGCTGCTTTTCCTATATTCGATAAAGCCAAGTGTTTGAAAATTTTAAGGCTTTTCATAGTTTCCTTAAATATTCACTGTTGTTGTTAGCCATCATCAAGTTGGCCCCTGTCTTGGTTATCTAGTGCTGCCATAACAGAAAAAAATCCGAAGTGGATGGCTTTAACAAACAGAAATTTATTCTCTCACAGTCTAGGAAGCTAGAAGTCGGAATTCAGGATGCCAGCTCCAGAGGAAGGTTTTTCTCTTTCTGTCGGCTCTGTGGGAAGGTCGTTGTTAGCAATCTTCCCCTGGGCTAGGAGCTTCTCAGAAGGGGACCCCGGGTCCAGGGGACTGGTTCCCTCATGGTTCTTCATTCTCGGTGATAGGAGGTCCCCCAATCTCTCTGCTTGCTTATCTCTTTTATATCTCAAAAGAGACTGACTCAAAACATCACCTAAACTTGTAGATTAGGTCCTGCCTCGTTAACATAGCTGCCTCTAATCTTGCTGCATGAGCATCATATAAGTTAGGATTTACAACACACAGATAATCACATCAGATCACAAAATGGTGGACCATCACACAATACTGGGAATCATGGCCTAGCCAAGTTGACACATATTTTTGGGGGACACAATTCAATCCATAACAGCCCCCAACCATGAAATATCCACTAATACTCACTAACTGCTCCCCCTTGTGGAAACTTTAATGAAAAATAATCCATAATCCTACCACCTCAGCAGAATTTTTTTACATATATTCCCTTTAAGTCTTTATATAAAGTATTGCCTGATTGTAGCTACA